GCATGTGCCCAGGGTACAGCATCGTGATGTGTTGAAATGGTAGTGTCAGTACGACCGCCCACCTTAAGCAGGGTCTTTGAAGGTCCCCTTCCCCAACACCTATCTACTACTTTCCTACAAGTTTCCAGATTCCGGAGAGATTTTTCCCCAACACAGCAAGTTGCTCTTGAAGGAACGTACGACTCTCCCCACGTGTTTCACACACCCGCTCTCCCAGTAACGGCCAAATACGACCCCCCCTCCCTCGGCGAGTACTAACTCTCTCCCATGTGTTTCACACAACGATGCTGTGTCCTGCATGTGCCACGCCGAAATGTTTTTCATCTGGTCAATTGAGAGGTCCGTCCTCTTCGTTTCGCTTATAGACGCCTTTCTGCAACCTTATATATTTAGCAAATGCTCTAGACTACACAAGAGATTCGAGAGCAGATGTCTTTCTGCGCAATGTGTATGTACCGGGCATTTCGTCCATATGGGGAGCTTGTGCGTGAGAACGCAACAATGCGGTAACAATACAATTAGCTGCAGTGGCATGAGTATCAGTCTCCCTGAAAAGCGACTAGTCGACCTATCCACACTTCCTCATGAGAACCGTTCGTTTCACACTCATTTTATGGGAGGGTACTATACCCTCTTGGGAATCACATTGCAATGATGATCGCAAAAGGGCATAGTACCCTCCAGTAAGATGAATGTGAAGAACACTGAGGGGAGTGGAAGAATGTATGGTCTAACGAAAAATGAATACTCTATCGCGATTTTGACAGATGGCGGATTTCTCTCGAGCACCTGATTTCTAGCCCATTGTAGCCCAAGCCACATACTAGGCTCCTGGATACCGTGTTCATGTGTGAATACATCCTAGGTGGGCGAATCCTCCAGACAATCGAGAAAGATGATTGACCTATCACCTAGTAGCAAAGACTTCCAGTGCAGTGTAAAAGGGATTCCTCAAACTGTTTCCATAAGTACATTACTCTTCAAAAACATTCCCGCGATCAAGTCTTAGGGTAGTAGGTGCTCAATCATGAACCAGGAGCCCAACAGCAACTTCCCCAGGAGAGAAATAAGCTAAAAAACCTCGGGAACACTCCGAACAGAGATCCCTTCTAGCAGTGGGGCCGACGCTTTGGAAGTACACTGTCGGGCGTCAGTAGTCCCTTCACGAGGATTCTACGTGCAACCTGCGTCATCAAGTCCCATCACGAGGATTCTACGTGCAACCTTTTCCCGCCCTACGTTGCTCCAGGCAACGCTATGAACACACGCGATTCCGCTTGTAAGCGTTGTCTTGCAGAGTGAAAGTAATCGTGGTTGCAATGGTTGCAATAATCACGCGTCTCTAGCTTCTTTATCTCGTCGTTTCAAGTGACGAAAGTGGTTAATTATCTACGAATGCGGACAACGATGCCAAACGCACGGAAGCATTTTGCGGGCCACTTGATCGCGCGAAATGCCTCGTGTGTTTGGCATCGGCCCGTGTGCCACTTGATCGCGATCGTCTTTTTAAGGCAGTTGGCACTGATGCTTTCTCTACTTAGCTAAATGTAGTAGGCCGTTAGGAGAGAAATGGCGAGAGAACGAAGTAATGGTCAAATCCGCCAAAGAAAAGACCCGTTCTCAGTGACTTGTAAATCGATTTCGGGGCGAGCTTTTCCCCGTAGCATCTTGCCAGATTACGTACCGAGGCGGCTGCATTATGGTGCCCATATATGTGCTGCGCGCATCACGCGCTTCACACCAATCCCTTTGCTCCATTAATTTGTACTCCGAGCAATGTATGAACGCGGGCTGTCAGACGGTGTCGCCCGTTGTGGGTGGGCTTGGCAAGAAGGCGTTTGGGACGTAAAATTGTTTTTCTAGGACTTATAAGGGTCCCTCCTTTGAAAAAAGTTCACGCAGACGCACTGTCGACGGTCACGGAATTCTATGATCGACTTTTAGCCGTGCACTATCAATAAGTGAGATATGCGGATTCTTTCGTGGCCATGCCTTCAAAGACCATTCAATCCGATCAATGCTGTCGCCGGTCTGTCTAATGAAATCATTCTATGAACCAGTGGCCATAATTAGTTCCTCAGTAGAAGTAGAAGCGGAAAAAAACCTCCGGGGAACAGCCTAAACATCGACCACCTCAGCGATTATGCGGCTTGTGTTTTGGCGGAATGTAGTCGGGGCGGGTGTGCTTGCCGATAGCGATCGGCAGCGTAAAGCTTTCAGCCGTGAGAGCGTGACGCGTGAGCGCAGGCATTCCTTTCCAAACGATTGCGATTATTTCCCTGTTTCGGAGGTCTGGAGAAGAAAGCTTCTCGCCTTTTTGAACACGACAGACTGGTGCTGATGTCGGAAAGCTGAGTCTGGAGAACCACACTGACCGTCCTTCTTTTCAATCCTTCTCTTGCGCAAGTATGACAGGCGAATCTACCTGCCTCTCAGTTTCACGTCCTTCCATCGCTTGCGAAGTATGAACCCTCAAGAAGCGTTTGCGGCTTCTTTTCCCGTCTCGCTCCTTTTTGGAACGCGCTTGCAAAAAACGTATGGGACCCTACTAACAGGCCTAGTCGTCGTAATTATGCCCTTACGGTTGCGAGTTGTGCAATTGCTATGGAAAAGCGTTCACCGAGGGAGGCAAAGTGCAGAAGCGCCGCTGCGCGACGTGTCGCGCGGGGTGTTGTGTGAGAGGCTTGTGCAGCCATTGTCTCGCTACAGTACAGTATGTGTCGAACGCGTTGTCAGGCTCACGTTCTCAACTTTCTTTATGTCGCCGTTTCGAGGGACGGAAGTGGTATGTTCTCTGTGATTATAACAGTTCAAAAGGTTCGGAATCATTTTGAGGACCACTAGATCGCGGGAAGTGTCTTTAAGGATTTTTGTGATTACGACTTGAGTTGCTGGATAACATCTTTCCTGCTTTCAGTCTGGGAGCGCCAGAGTGCAGTAAATAAATAAATAATATAAACCATTGGCATTATATCGTGGATCTCTCCCACACAGCAGATGTTCGAAGAGCGCTCAGTATTTTTTAAATCAGCCACTGAAGCCAATGAGGGAAACACCAGGCTACTGTGGTGATCCCTTAGGCTGCGTTTGTACCAGCGTCCACAGGTGTTTCGAGCGTCCATCACCGTCAGCGACTGTGGAAGTATAGACATCGATCTAGCGTCTGCCAGGGTGCACCAGCGTCTACTAGCGTACGCGAGAGGAGAGTATGATAGGAAGATAGCAGGCAGCTGATCCCCTCCTACCGCGCCATACTCTCTAAAGGCTGCCTGCTACTCTCCCTATGGCGTCGTACTCTACCAGTTGTCTGAGACCCTCCTATCGCGCCATACTCTCCTCTCCCAGGACGTTGGCAGACGCTACATCAATATCTATACCATTTTCACTTTAAATCGGACACTTTTCAAACCAAATCGGACACTTTTCAAACCAAATCGGACACTTTTCAAACCAAATCGGACACTTTTCAAATCAAATCGGACACACCCCTACCAAGGGCAGTTGATAACTAGACCACACTAGGTACTGCTGCAAGCCCCGCCCCAACACCCCCGCCCACCTTTCCAGCGCGGTCACGGTTTTCCAAAATGTTTTATGAAATCTGCTTCTTCGACTTTTTCTCACTTTTGCTAGTTGCACACACACTTCAACTGAAAAGGATTGGTACCGATACAGATCTGACTCCGCCCACTTCACAATCAAGTGATGTAAGTTCTGAATTTTTATAACTTCTTTCGACGTCGGTTTTTTCACATTCAATCTTCACAAAACGAATATAGCCATGCTTTTACACACTAGCACACTAGGCCCCGCCCCTCTGACCACGCCCACTTTCGTTTTTCGCGGAATTTTGATTTTTCTTCCGAATTTTCACTTTTTTAGGCTGTGACAAGCGGCCCCGCCCACTAATGGAAGCTCCGCCCACTTTGTAGAAGCCCCGCCCACTTTTCAAAATGATGCAGATCGGCGAGCTAGTGACCGTACTAGCAGGTTATGGCCTCTTCCCGTCACCGTCACGTTACATAGAATGAAAAAAAAGGAAATACCACAAAAAAGGGAAACTTTGTTCCGGGACGGGAGAGGACCTGTTAGTACGGCCACTAGCTCGCCAACCTGTGTCATTTTTGAAAAGTGGGCGGGGCTTCTACAAAGTGGGCGGAGCTTCCATTAGTGTGTGGGGCCGCTCGTCCTTAGCCTAAAAAGGTGATTTTCAGAAGAAAAACAAAAATTCCGCGAAAAACGAAAGTGGGCGTGGTCAGAGGGGCGGGGCTCAGTATACTAGTAGAATGCATGACTATATTCGTTCTGTGAAGACAGGATGTGAAAATCAACGTTGAAAAAAGTTATAAAAATTCAAATTTTACGTCGCTGTGTCGGTAGCAAACCTATCAGTTGAATGTGTGTGACAAGTAGCAAAAGTGAAAAAAATTCGAAGAAGCAGAATTCATAAAACATTTTGGAAAACCACGGCCGCGCTAAGAAGTGGGCGGGGATGTTGGGGCGGGGCTTGCAGCAGTACCTAGTGTGGTCTAGTTCTCAACTGCCCTTGTAGGGGTGTGTCCGATTTGATTTGAAAAGTGTCCGATTTGATTTGAAAAGTGTCCGATTTGGTTTGAAAAGTGTCCGATTTGGTTTGAAAAGTGTCCGATTTAAAGTGAAAATGGTATATATTTTCCCAGTCGTTGGTGCTGTCGGACACTTGAAACGCCAGCGGACGCCGGTAGGCGCTGGGAAACTCTGCCATAAAGTATGAACGAAGGTTCACCTTACCCACACATAGACACAACTTCGCTCTAGGAATGTCTGACTCAGGATATGCCTTCTTACGAATACCCTCAAATGCTAGTACTGTAAGGAAAAAACTTAACATACTTCCATTTAATATTAGTGATTTTACTTCCGATCATGGTGGCACACAGCCATAAGGAACTGCGAAAACTTGTAAAAACAATCATTCGCACTAACCAATGAGCGCTCGCTTCCAGAACTATATCGAAATAATGATTAAAAGAAATCCAGCGTTCTATGTTACTGTCGTCATCACACCGTCATTCATTATTAATGTTCTCTGCATCGTTGGACTATTTCTGAAATCTGATCGTACGACTAAGGTATGTGGACTTCTTTCGAAACAACATTGTTCAGCCACACACAAAAATGAGCAGCACAAAAATTGCCCTTCGGAACTGACCACTTTCGGAAATGACCAGTTTTTTTGGGATCGAATCAACACGAAGCTGAGGCATTGAGCACACTGCGGCTGCACTCGCATGGTATTTAAAAAGGGAGTAACATCATTGAGAATTCATTTTTCGCAGAACAGTAAGAACGATTCATGTTGTATGGGCAGGGTCTAAACGAAAGACACCACAGCTTGAAAGCTGTGGTGTCAAGCGTACATGACAATTTCTGCCCAGCGAATAACGCGGACAATTTTTGTGAACGCAGTTTTTTTGCCTTCAATATTGATATTTTCGTTCAGACATAACGTAGAAGGAAGCCCTACTCAGTTTTAGAAAGTAGAAGGGCTTCTCTTAACGAGCACAACGTCTTCGCTTCAGCTCAACTATAGCGGAAATCGCTCGGTGCGTTTTCTTTAGGAAGTCAGCCTTAGCTACAGCATGAGTACCTCCTCCCTGTGAAGCCCTATAGAACACTTCCACATAGAAAACTCGGCAGACTTTCCAAACACCTTCCCCACACCTTCTGCTCATGTATTACATAGGAACTGCAGCGCAGATGTGCTGTTTTTTCGGGAATTTCACAAAAGTTGCCATTTAAGTCAATGATGCAGCTCGAGGACAAATCGTACCTCCGTAGATCCTGTTCCACGCCATGTGCAAGAAGGATGGTTCCATAGCTGTAGAAATGTGCCACTTTCTAGGGAAAAAGTGCACGGGAACAGGAGTGGAGGATAGTGCTTCCCGAGTGTCGTCTCCATACTCTGCGCGCGCTGCCGCACGGCCAGCTACATACCCAACAGCACCACTCCCTCCTGGTTGTTCTTTGACGCTGAGTGCGCGTTTCGCTGCAGGACCTCTGTATCGACGCAATTGCTGCATACTGGAGATGCATACATACAGGAGTATGGAGGCGGCACCTAGGTATCGCTGCCCTCCAGCAAGTTCTCGTGCACTTTTGAGCGAAGAAAGGGCACGCAACTGCAATTGCGGACCCATTCGCCTCGCATATGGCAAGTATCAGGATATGCGGAAGCGAAGCATACAGCTTGTCCAAGGCATTACAGCCTCATTTTTACGCCGTCTTCTATTGTGATTGATTCTTTTCTTTTTTTCAGCTTGAAATGGCATTAACGAATATTTTATCCTTGACGTTCATACTTGGAATTCTCGCTGCTGTGCTGCCTAAGTCTAGTCAAATACCTAAAATTGGTGAGTATTGTGTTTCCTACCTGAGTACGCGAAAGGGCCCTACAGTTAATGGCAGCTTCCGGAATGTGTCTGGAAGGGCAGCAAAAGCGAGTCAACAGGGGTATCGCGCTTGGTGCCAAGCAGAAGCTCAACCGTTAGCTTGAATCCCTTATGCCATGATACCTGGCAAAACACTGCTCAAGCCAGCGTTTGTCATTTGAAAGTGATGTTGGCACCAACTAAGTCATGCCAAAAGCATGCAACGCTCGATTGTTGGGAGAAAGATGAGATAACCGCATCCCGTTGAAGAGTCATTTTAAGAGCCTAGGCATTTAAATTGGTTACGGCAACATAAGACTCTTGTTAATATCATTAGTTTTGGAGATTGCGGCACTAATCATCTTTGGAGAGGGAACACGTGTATGCTGTGAGCTTTTCTGAGGTGTGTCACAGTCGTTGTTCTTTCTTCTCACTTTTCACGACCGTATTTCACCCTGGAAACCCGCAAATTCTTCTCAAGTATTCCGTGAACTCCTGTCAAGCTTGGCGTAATGGTACTCGCATCGAAGGGACGTCACTTCTCCATGTGTACAGTCTGCAGGATTTGCCATGCTGGCAATCGCCTACAAGTGTGCTTACTCCCCCGCTTCCCCCTTCAAGCGGAGAGATTCGGAACAAAACGCGATTTCCCCTGTCCTACAACCCATCCTGCATCACCCATCATCTATTCGTGCAAGAAAACCATTGTCTGGGTGCATCTAAGTTCTTTGTCCCACAGCTAATTGATCAGCAGGATCAGAGGCAATCGGTATGAGGGGCATCCCCAACAGGGGGGGAGTCGTATCTGGTCGCAGGAAGAGAAGGGAGTCGTACTTCTGCTGAAACAGGGTTTTTTTGACGTTTGATTTTTCTTGTTTCCGAGACGTTGTGAAGGGGTCGTATTTGGTCGTTGTTGGAAGGGAATCGTACTTCGCTCCTGACCTTTCAAAAGAATTGCGATTTTGTAATTTTTCCACTTTTCATGTGGCACGATATATTTCCCCGTTCCAACCACCGCTCGACAACTGATTCGACTGAGGAGCGGAACTAGGGTTGGGGTTGTGGGGACTCGACCACCCGGCATACCCAGAATGATGTGCTCTGTGAGGGATAGCAGTTCCGTTTTCCCAGATGGAAGTCAATTTGGGAATTATCCTCAAGAATAGAAAGAAATTATTGTTAAAGAATTATCCTGAAAGAAATTAGAAATTAATCAGGAAGTTAGGAAAAGAAACAATTATCCTGAGAGACCTGCAGAGGAAAGGGGCTTATAGGGTGAAACAGGTCTTCTCCTGTGAAAACTCCAAGGGGCTGTGCGCAAAGCGGCGCAACTTCATGAGGAGGTTCACCAAATTTACGTTGGAAATTGGCCATTCTTTAATCGTTGCCATTATTTTTGGGTACTCTACGTGGTTTTTACAGGCATTTTTATCGTGATCAACCTCGCGCTTATGGTGGCATCACTAGGCATTGTTCTTCTTCTGCCATATCTTCGATGTTTCCCTGTGCTGGTCGGCTACAGCGAAAATGGTCCCGAAAAGAAGTGAGTGAAGAATTTAGCTTTATTCGTCATCTTACAATTAATGGAAATGTCTTCATTCAGAGAGCTAAACGATAAGAAAGCACATCACTGTACAAAAAAGGCAACCATGACTGCCCGAATTCTGGATCTCGTCCTTCTCACTTCGCTCGAACTCTGCGAAACCTTGCATTCCTCTGGTAATTTATAGGATAGCTAACTTAGTTGTATCGGCAAGACATGAACATCAAAAATAAATCAACAAATCCTTCATCATCTGACTGGCTTTTCCAGTTTACTCTGACTGGATTTTCCAGTTCACATGGAGAAAATTAAAGGGTGCATATAAAAAGGCTAACGCGAGACCGAGGAAGAATCTTACGTCTTTTCAATTCAGTTTTAGATTGCACATACACAGTTTTGTTCGCTGCGGATGCTGGGGTGTGTCAGGGTTCAGGTTTGGTGCGGCCCCAGCCTTTTCCAACAATTGTTGAGCGGGCAAGCGACAATAACGAGTGGAAAAGTTGCTGAAACGTGCTGGCGCCTGGTTAAACCGCGTCCCACGCCGCAATCCGCACCGGAACAACACCCTATCTTGTCTTCCGTTTCAGGGTTTTTTTTTATTTGGAATCAAAAAAACCACAAGCAAACCATCCTTCATCGCCACCTTATTGAAATGCTTATGGTATACAGTACGCCCATCTGCAAAATAGATTCATATCATGAACCACCCGCAGCTAAAGAAATCCCCCTTCATAACCTTGAAAGTACCCAGAGACACCGTCATTCCACACATCATCGTGCTGTACCCTGTACACAGAAATGAGCGCAGATCGCCGGCTCTTATGTGATGGTGAATTGCCGTTTCGTACCCTCAACAGACGCGCAAAGTGCGACATGCGTTGTTTGCTTGTCGTTTCATATTTTCAACATGGACGAGGTACCAGCTCCCATGTTGCCAAGTCAAAGAGTGGTGATCTCGAAACATGAGGAAAGTAGCTCGTTGGTAAATATTACGTCATCCATTCAAAAGCGTAGAAGTCTCAGATGGAAAGTGATACTTTGGAAACTCGGTCGTCGCACGTGTTCTCCTCGCAAAATCGGGAGAGCGCCTCAACACTGAGCAGCTTCGTTTTTTTTTCGAAAAGAGCAAATAAAGTGCTGCTAAATTCATTCACGGCGATCGACAAGTCAATGTATAGTTTGCCACTGTGCAGTCTCTTAGTTGATTAGACAATCGAAGTCGCACAGCTGCAAGTCGGGCAAATATGATCGGTTGGATCCTGTTCTCTAATATCTTTTGGTCGAAATGCTACCGAATAATGTTATCACAAATGCCGAGTTGTGGGCAAAAGTCGTGCCCCAGGCGGTAGTCGAACCCGCACCTCGCACTTTCCGGGCGAGTGCGCTATCCGTTACGCCACAGGGCGTCTTTTACCTCTCAGCTTAACGGCTTTTATGCCGTAGCCTATCAGCACTCACACGTTTAACTTGGTGAGCCGGTCAGCCGTAATCGATGGGATATCGGCATGAAACCGCGAGGCCTAAGGCTTTAGATGTTTTTGAAGCTGTTTTTTTGTTATGATAACCGTAAAACGATTACGGCTGACCGGCTCACCAAGTTAAACGTGTGAGTGCTGATAGGCTACGGCATAAAAGCCGTTAAGCTGAGAGGGTAAAAGCGGCCCTGGTGGCGTAACGGATAGCGCACTCGCCCGGAAAGCGTGAGGTGCGGGTTCGACTCCCGCCTGGGGCACGACTTTTGCCCACAACTCAGCATTCTTGTGATAACATTCGGAACGCGTACTGCGGCGTTAAACAGCAGTTATCATAACAAAACAGCTACCGAATAATATTCTATTAGCATAAAATATAAATATATAAATAGATTGTATCTTCTTGTACATTTACATATAAAAAAAGAGAAAACTGCTGAGAACTAAGGGCAAACAAGAATGACCGCAGTGCTTTGTCATCGAAAAACGAGTGAATGAACGCTGTGGATCGTCAAGACAATTACAGACTTCAAATGATGTCTCTCCGGGTTTCGAGTGGAGTGAGTAATGAAGAAGGAAGGAATATAAGGTGGAAGAGGAGGAGGAGGATACATGTATTACAGCGATTACTATGGAGTTCTCAAGAAACGAAAGTGCACGAGTAAAATATTATACAAATACATTACAATCAGGTGGAGCGTGGGACTGTGATGAGCAGCGATCTCGTCGTAAGGTACCTTCGAATTGTCGGCCTTGTCGCTGAGGAGCGGGCAATGCATGTGAGGAGTACCGTTCTTGTTATTCGGACAGAAGCCACAACCCAGAGATTCACCGCCATGGCGATCATCCGCTCGAACTCCTGACATAGTTCGAGCTCAGGGTACAAGGCCATCCACGACATTCGTCTATGTCAAGCGTGCATTTCCATAACTGTGGATAACGTCTTAGGAGAAGAACATTGCTGCGGCATGCATCAAATCTGTTCTTGGTTTCTGTATTTGTAAGGGAATAAGGTACTCTAACAGGCACGCGGCTGTTGTCGTTTCTTGATCTACGCAAGATATCGCGAAGCAACTTTCACCTTTTCATCATATTCCATCATACCCTCATCATCTCTATCCGTTTTTCGTGTGCAAAATGAGCACTAGGGGCTCCTCTCCGACCACAAATTCTTTCTGTTCCTCCTTCTTTTGACTTTACCTATGCCTCCACTTGCCGTTCAGAGAACACCATTGTGTGCAACTCCAGCACACAACAAAGACCTACCTTCCTTCCTTCCGTACTTTGGCCGAGGTTGGCGGATGAGGAGTCGAATGTACTGGCTCCTGAGCAATGTAGAGGCCACGGCCCTCAAACTCTCGCTTTGTCTCCACGTGTTTAAATGAAATGAACTAATAGTTGGGCGTATGCTTTCTCGTGCGGCCTGTTACGTCTGCGTGCTTTGCCTGTGCATAGATTCGGATTGGTATTTGGCTAACGGTACTCTCCAGCCTCATTACGGCCCACTTCAGGAACAACGAACGAGAGCGTACTGCGTTTCCTCTATACAGGTAGGGGGGAAGCAAAAAGTCACCTTTCTTCCTTGACTTTCGAGACGCTAGTGAGAGTTACACTTATCCAAATCTGATCGGACTATTCCGCACCACCGTATAGCAGTAGCATTATCACGATACTATTACGATTATGCCAAAGCCTTTTGGAGAAGCGCCATTCGAGTCCGAGAGATTCTGCCACGCGACCGTGATTGGGTGCCTGAGTTCAGCGAGATAGTTGATTTCTCCGCCACTGTAGACCACCCTATTGAACTCCGCCCGAACCAGGTAATTGAGGGGGTTAGGTCAGGTGACACACTTAGATATTCCATCTTCTTCAGGTACTCGCCTTTCCATTCCAAGTAGGCGAGAGTTTTTCCAACGCCCTTCGATTCCATGTGGTGGCACCCAATCCTGTAGCAGTACAAAGTTTCCAAGAAGGTACGGGCGACGACATGTGGGAGGATATTCTTCTCGAGTTGCTCGATGTAACCGCCAGCGCTCACCTTCAGTCCGGGTCCACGAAGAAAATATCGGTCTTTCCATTCCAGGTACGTCCGGTCCATACCATCAACCCGCGCCTTGGCGACTGCGGTGAAGATGATCCTAGACCGTTGTCGGAGCTGCTCGATGTTGGAGGTCTTCCAGAGAGTACTGGTCTCCAGGTAGCTATCCATGGGTGACTCCATACTAGAAGTTTCGCAGCTGTTTGGAGGTGACATGAATTCCAAAGGTCTTCTCCAGTCAGGCTGCGACTGGAGATGACTTCATATTTTGGTGTACATGAAGGTGATGGGCGAGAGCCAGCTCCTGCTTATCGAGGAACATCTTGGGTATCTTCCGCCCTGGTACTCGTATCCACGTCCTCTGTCTGGGCTGCGAAAACTTTGCTGATATGTGACTCGGTCGAAGTGACTTTTTTTGCCCCCCCCCCTCTGTATACTTGCCATGGGGCACTTGAGTGACTCTCGACATTACGTCAGAAAGATCTAACATGGCAGGGAAAAATTGACACAAAGCCTAGTAAAAGTGAGTGCATTTATTCCCCCAGGTGAGTTTGGTGCAAAATGAGCCTGATAGCCTTTTGCTCCGAAGTAATCTACTGCCCGGTTGGCCTGGGGGAACCGTGCCGCCTCTCTTGAGGGAACTAGTCTTTGATAAGGGGGTGAGTGATCCAACATTTGTAGCATTTTGAGGCAAGTTTGCACATAGCGAACTCTAAAGGCGTCAGGTAACTTGCGCTCTAAATGAACTCACGCCCACTCAGCAAATACAACCTCTTTTCGGCTGATCAACACGTGATATCGCTCCCACCGCTAGTCGCGCAGTTGTTGCCCACAGATGAGCATGATCATCGATACTGCCGTAGCACTGATTCTCCTGACCAGCCACGCTCTTCAATGTTGTGAAGTGCTTAGTAAGTGGTTTTGATATTTCATTTTTTTACAGAATGTCTGAAAGAAAAAGAAAGTAAAAAAAAAAAGAAAAAGAAGAAAGAAAAAAAAAGAAAGAAAAAGAAGAGGGCTGCGGAATTGGGCCATCTATCATTAGAGCTAGGTTCTCGTCGGGAGGCGTTTTTTGCAGCTTGTCCGTGTACTACAAGTAGAAGGTCTAGCCCGAAAAACCAGACTTCTCGGGCATTATCGAGGGCTAATGGGGCCTACCATTTGTGCAGCTCTCAAATCATCTCTCTTCCGGATTTCTGAGAATCCATCGTAGTTAATCACCACCACCACCCTGCTAGTTTAGGAATTCTGTTCTTCCAACAGTTCCCATTGTCAGGTTCCTCTTCAGAAAAGTGGGAGTTTCTATACAAGTAGAAAGAAGAGATAAAATAACATTTTGGCTTTATATTAATGGATCCTTCTTTCCTTACGTAACGATCTGCTCCCTATGCTTCGGTCGCGTTGAGACCACAGACATCATTACTTTCTCTGTAAGCGCGAGTAAACTGCTGTCGATACCATTTCGGCGTACGAAAAATCGTCTTAGCGCTTGCCGTTGGGCAGTACCATCGACTGACCGGAACAAGTGGTATTTGACGGCTGTAGATCGCGCGATCAAGGCTTTGAATTCAGCCTCAATATTGTTTGGTCGAGCACTGGCCCCCATAATACAATTAGCGGGCTGGCCACCTGTTCGCGAACAATGGCGGCGTTCTTTTAGTTTGTGTGTTTCATCCT